ACATGTAGTACATAACATAAGTAACTAAATAGGGACATACCAATTGAACGTATCGGGAGATACTTGTAACCCAAACCTTAATATACCAGCAATATATATGCAAAGCGATGAACACTAAAAGATTGTCTCTACCATACACAGCATTTAGCTTTAGACAAAAATAGAAAAATGCATGATGTTACGGTTGTGCGCTATAGTTCTAACTTATTCAAGTTTTAAGGAAAGCTCAATGTATTTTAAGCAAAAGCTCTATTACTGTTACCTACGAAATCGATAGAATTCGATAGCGTAATTATCATTTTCAAATCATGTGATCGTAGGCTGTCTGGCGTATTCCAGTCCTAACGTTTCTCTCGAAGTTTACCACAGGTTGTGAATAGACAGAACGATAAATAACGGTTGAGCGAATAGAGTATATACATCTCGGCTTGTAGCAGCACGAGTAGCCCATAATAAACGATATTTACTATTCAACTGTTTGTCTTCATTATCTTTTCCTTTATTGGTTGACTGAACAAAAATGACTTTGTTAAGACATTTCTTATTCAAAGGTGCAAAATGTACACTACGAGCAGCACAGCTCTCGTAGGAAAAGACTCTCGTAGCTTGAACAGGTGACAACTAATGAAAATAGATTTTCTATTTTGAAATGGAGCAACTCACGATTTCGCAAATATCGTTACCGTCTGTAGGGTACCGTTGGTATAACACAAACTATGAAAAAAGAAACAATTCGTATATTCATAGGCACATATCGAACCGTCAGCAGCAGAGGTCAAATATCTTCTGTATTATATTCTAACAATAGAAGCTCGTTCTGTTACCTCTGTAGAATGGTAGTTACTCATTTTCAATGTGATTTTTCATTAACACTGTTCACAGCTGTTCACTGTTAACACATAAGGGAAGCGTCAATTTTTCATTTTTCACTTTGACGATGATATAGGTATTTTGTTTTTTAGAAAGGTTGAGTGGCTTAGAATTAGATTCGAAATCAATTATAATTTCTTGTCCGACAAATGCATGTTTCATCTAATAATGCCCTTCGATGTATGTAAAAAAATGTGAAAATTTTAAATTGTTTTTTAGAAGCTACAATTTAAAAATATCAGTCAGCCTATCTGACGCGGCCCACGCAGTAATTCTGGACTCTTTATAGGTAAACGGACTTTGAAAAAGGTCCATTTAAACATGGACTTCCGTATATTGATAGGATTAATTTACAATACTCAAGTTATAACATGTAGAAAACGCCTAAGGTGTAAACGAACGATATTGAAATATCTCGTAAGAAGAAGGTAAATTCGAAAATATTTTGCCTGAAAATGATTGTCCTATCAATGTTCTACGCAACAACTATGCAGGTTTCTGCATAGTTGAAATGAACACTAGAGGCGTCATCTTATTAAAATAATGTAACAATTTTTTTCGTCTTAACGTCTAATATGACATAGCTTTTGATTTCATTCAACTTTTAGCATTGCTGGGTCTTCAGAGACCTTCTGGTGCTTAATATAATAGTAGCGTCTGTGGGTTTCTTAAGATAAAAGTCTTGCTTTGCGCGCGTAATTTTCATTGGTGTCTCGGGTTTATCAAAATCTATAGTAAATACACTCAACTTTTTTAAACCTTCCAGACAGGCCTGGAAGGCTGAACAAAAGGGGTATTTTTGGTGTTTCAAAGCATCGAAATTTTCTCTAATAATTTTTCATCAAAAAAATGCTGATGGCATAATATTTGACAGAGATGCCCGCATGAGCAATACTAAGCAGCGCATAAACACCAAGTTAAAAAAGAAACTGATTAACTTACAAGTGCCATTTACTGCAACATTGCATTTAGTACGTATTACATATGTATTTAATACATTTAATTTAGAGAATACTACGGTGTGCTCTTTGGTGTTAGACATCACTAGGATAATCCCTGCATAGACGGTTCTAGTAAGTAAATGAACGTTTGATAAACGACAGGGCTGTTGTTGCGAACTGATAGTCGCCTATAGCCTAAACGATAAGGTTAATAGCATTTATAACAGTTGAATTCGGCAGCAAAGATGATCATGTGCGAAACTGACTAGCACTATATTTAGGTATCGTTACACAGCCAAGCGAAAAAAATCATTAAAGCCTAATGCTTCTTGGGATCAGAAAATGTAAAGTTTGTATCGTTTACGAGCTCGTGTGGTGCATTTGCATACATTTCGCCTACCCTATAGACTTAATCGTAATTCAATATGGTAACAAATTCAAAGGGAGCAAATATTGTCATTGCGGTTGTCCTTTTTGTTACATATGCTGCTGTTACTGTACTTCGATGCAGACACCCGGTTCTCAGCGTCGTATCGTTACACTAATAGAAAAAATCTTTGCTATAAAAAGTATATATAACCTTTATTAGACGAATGGGATATATAGTAGGCTATTCGATCGGTAACAATAAACATATAACTTTGGATAGCGTTCTCGGCTTGTCCCTCCAAATTTAGGCTTAACAGAGTCTTGGGTTTCTCAGCCGTTTTGGCTTTTGCTTCAGCTATAGGAAGTGGTACCAATCAGTTAATAAATGGCACAATCTAACTTGATGTTTGCATCCCGAACAGCGGCACCTACTTTTCCAATAGGCCCTTTTCAGCACCAACGTCCTTTGTGTTCCAAATAAAGATTGAAGAATGACAACACCATGCACTTTATAGAAAATAAAACAGATCAATTACAACGGTGCGCTACACTGAGTCAGAGTGAATTTTCGAGTTACTGAGTCGAGTCTGATCGCTATGACGATTTGCTGCAAACAGATGCTATAACATGTTCATATAACGACTACCATTCAAGGGACGTTTGCACTTTTAGTCAGCCATTTTTACCCTGTTTTCTTCTAGCCGATGCTTGAACTTACTTGGCACCAGGGTTTGCAAGCAAAATTGGCCACGAAGTTGTGTATTGGAAATCGATTTGATCAACAGGGAATAATAAGTTAGTTTGCGTACAGGGAAGTGTTTATATAGCTTCCTATTCAAAAATGTTTCTCAGCCTATCTTTTAAATAAAGGAAAACTGCACTTGTTCTAAATAATTATCTTGGGTGCCTGTTTCATATTTGCACCATTGAACGTGAGCTTTAACTTAATTCATTTCTAGAGATTATGTTGGCCGGAGTTCGAACTGTGTACTTTCTTGGTATAAAGTTGACACGTGCTTGAAATGCTTAAAAACTGAATACAATAAGACCGCACAATCTGTGCAATGTTCTGATAAAGAGTTTGTTTATTATGGTGCTTTGGACGCTATTGTTTGACATTGAAATTGCTGCCGGGCAGCGTGCCTCACTTTTAATAAACATGCACCAGTCGCAAAAGATTCCAGCCTTACATTGATAATACAACCCAGGGGCCAGGCCGATGTCCAGAGATTCTTAATGTAGGGTTTGTATATCTCAGCTACACTCTTGCTACAATAAAGTCATTTGCTAGTTAATCGTCGCCTTGACAAGGGACGCCGATCGAATCCATCTCTAAGCTGTACACTGGAGGTTTCCGCAGCTAAGTTATCTCATACTTAATTTTGAGTTTTACGTACGGTATAGCCGTTTGACATTCCATCAGATCGCTGTCTCTCAGTATGAAACGATGTCGGTCTGTACCCGGGTTCGAACCTAGACTACAATGTATTCCTAAGATTAGCAGCCAAATACGATGAAATGGCGAATGGCGATCGCAGACGGAACATAAAGGTTTTCTCATTCTGATTACTAGGGGGTCTACAGGATAGGGCACCTAAATTGAAACTTTTGTTTTGTTCCTGAAATTTTACTTAGACAAAAACAGATGTTTCAACAAAAGTGGTGAAGGAACCATTCCTGACGGTCGTGTTTATTCAATTCGGAGCCTGAATCGCATTTTTAAAATATGGATATATTAATCTGTAAAGATCCTCTAATAGTACGCGTGCATCCAAGGATATTGATATGCATAATTGTAACAAGTTTCGCTTTACGAGCATCGCTCACACGCTATATTCAGCGAAACTGAATTTTCGGTTGAGATGAGGCCAAAAATCCTAAACCACAAAACGGCAAAAAGGTCTAGAAGGCAGAAAAAAGCTCGCGAAATAATCATTGAAACTTATCTGGACGACGCAATTATCAACTGATATTCTCCTGTCCAAAACGGGTGTGATTCTTGGCATGAAAAATTCAGGAATATCAAACATAACGTTTTGAGCTATTTTGATTCATTTTTAGGCCCTTTAAATCTAAATATTATAATAAGGATCTTTTGATTCGCGTTACGAAAATTTTCCTTTGAAGACGCATCAAAATTAGCAATAACGTGGGTTATCGATTTCGCGCAAGACGTAGAATTTTTTTTATTCTGGTGAAAGTTTCTCCAGAGCGAATAGATCGGCAAAAGGCTCGCTTTCGCTTGAATTATAAAAGCATACTACTCGCTAGCTCTAACGTATTCAATTAAAAAAAAAAAAAGACCTATTTAGACAAATATACTTCACAAAAAGCCTAAATAAAATTCAAGCAGTCAGTGAATAACGATAACACAAATATTTTCACGCCGAACTTTAAATTAGGAGAATGCTTTTCATTTATTTACATGTACTCCATGTATTTACAAAAAATATATCATTGTCGTTGTTATTACTACCAAATTCATTCGCTATAATTATGTTCTATATTTTTCTTTCCCTCTTTCTATATACGCTTTCGCTTTAGGTTCTATATCCGTACTACCCGCGTTTTTTCTTCATTTTATTTGTACGCTCTTAACAGATATCCACATACCATCAGTCGTCTCACACCAAAATGCCCAAAAGATTTCTGCTTATCACTTTATCACGTCTAACGTTTACCTTCACTGCAATATGTATGTATGTAT